CACCACTGGAGGAGCTGTGACCAGGACGAAGGGACTCACAGAACAGCCCATTTTTTGCCCCGAAGCAGGAGCTGAGTTGTATCTTCTGATTCTTGCTGGGATGAAGAAGCATCTCCAGAAAAGGAACCTGGATCTGGGCTGCTGAACCCTGCACGGCTTCCTCATCCATGGAGCAGCAGAACCAAAGTCCTTGATAGGGCTGGGTTGGGCAGAGGGCCCCCCCCTCCCTGCTCCCACTTTCTGCTCCTACCGCTCACCATGGGTTGGAGGCACCTCTTGTTGCTTTTGCCTCTCGCCCTCTATGCCCTGGCACTGCTGTTGACCACGCAGGCAGCTGGGCCCCCACGGACACCCAGGGGCAACCGGACACAGGGGGCAGCAACACCCCGCCGACCCTACAAGCCTTTCAAGGAGCAGCTGAACCAGACACTCGCCAGCACAGCACCTTCTTCTGCACTTGCTGGTGGCGGGGGAAGCCGGGGGCGCAGTCCTGGCGGAGGGCCAGCCAAGGCATCCTCGGGGGGCAGTGCAGGCAGCTCTAGTCCCGCCTACGAGACATGCCAGGGCTATTACGACGTGAGTGGGCAGTGGGACAAGGAATTTGAATGCAACAATAGCCAGAAAGATTTCCGCTACTGTTGTGGCACCTGCTACTACCGCTTTTGCTGCAACAAGCGTTCTGAGAAGCTCAATCAGGACAGGTGTCGTAATCAGGGTCCACGGCCCAGCACCGATCCTATGACCCCTGCCACCAGTAACGACGGACCCGGAGACATACCCAATGGGTATGACCCAAATGAGGACAACACAAATGCCACTGTCTACATCTCGTGTGGGGCCATTGCCATTGTCGTCATTGCAGGCATTTTTGCCAAGGTGGCCTATGATAAAGCACGACAGCCACCGCAGGAGATGAACATCCACAGGTGAGAAGGGTTGGGCCCCTGTACCTTATCCCCTTCCCTATAATCTAGGCAAGGAATGGGCAGTAGTTCAAATGCCAAAAAAATATCCACCATCCTATGGCTTGGGGAGAAATCCTCTATCGTACAGGAATACAAGACTTACTTCACTTTCTCAGTGGGATGATTGCTTTCTTCATGCACACACACATCCCATAGAGTTTGCTGTCCTTTTGGGGAGTCCTCTTTAGGATACTTGAAGCACATCTTCTAGATCGGAAGTCTATACTTTGCCCTAGATGATCACATGGTCGCAATCTCATAATTCATGGAAGAATTTATCCCATCTCTAGGCACTATAAAGATTCCAGAATAAATTGTTTTACAACCACAGAGGTATGAGGGGTAAAACATGTCAGATCTACTTCTTGGGACTTCCTTTGCTCACAGTCTTAGTATGGAGAACAGTATATGCATGCTGCATCATACATTCGTATTTTTTCTCCTATTAAAGATTTCTGTAGGAAAAAAATTCTCTTTTCATAAGAACAAGGCAAGTTTTTTTGGTGGGGGGAAGTAGATCTTCATTCTGAACTATGGAAGTGGTAGTGCTTTTGAACACCTAAACTGTTTTCGTTGAAGTTGACTTGGGGTTATTAGGACAGACACCAGGGACAGATTTTAATTGGATACTATAAGATATATTGCGCAAAGATAGTTCATTTCTAATGGTAAGATCCTAAATTAGTTATATTGAGATAAATGAAACTATAGTGTATGTGTGTCTCTGTACAACTCAAACTTGGGTTATGAAGAGTTATGAAAGGAAACCTAAAGACAATGTAAGATAAGATTAAATACTTTTAAAGAAGGGAAACTCCCACTGTTTTCTTGAACTGGACAGGCTGAGTAGGAGAGACAGGGAATATTATCTGAGACTCAGCTATCTATATCCTGCTGCAGTTGGGGGAGGACCTTCTAAATGGATGGTGTAGGTGTCTCAATTCTCTGTTAATAGTGAGAATTATTTTACAGCCCAATTATCACAGCCAAGCTTGCCAAGCCTGGCAAGATTGGAAGCCTTACGTCACAGCCTTTGAAAATTAGACCTTTAAATTACTTCTTCAAAATATAAAGACCTTTAAATGTTCTGACTTCCACCCCCTTGATAAGATCCAGAAAAGAACAGGTGGTTGGCCTTTTGTAATTTTTCCTTTGTCTCGGATGAGTCCTTAACATCAAAATCTTGTCTGTTGTTTTCCACCTTTGGAGTTCTTAGATTAACCTGTATTATCTGAACAATAAAGCACAGAATTACATAACACTAGGCAGGCCTCAAGTAAGAAGGTAACTTTCCACAGTTAACAATGCTTGGATGTTGTTGTTGTTTTCCCATACAGAAAGCGGGGTGGTGGTGGTGGTGCTGGAGGAGATACCTCATTAATATTACTTTACCTGAAACTATAAGTAACAGCTTCCTCTGCCTTGATTGATTCGTTTTAAATGAGGCTTTGCTTTTCCTCTTCACTTTCTTAGAGTTGCCTGGTCACAGAAGCACAAACTAGGGACACGCTTCTCCTGACATCTCTCTTTCTAAAAGTTTGCACCTGTCATATCCTCTCTATTTAACTCTCTTTTAAATGGGCAAAGGTGAACGAGAGGTTCATGGGATTACTATATTCCATTTCCCATGGGCTCTGTTCTTCCCGAACTTATAAAACTTCTGCTAGGATTCACAGAAACTGCAGCAAAAACAACAAGAGTCCTGGGGCAACTTTTTTTGTTCTTGTTCTTTTCTGTCACTCTGGCGGTTCTTTCCTCTGCTTTGCCGCCTTTTTTCTCCACAGCCTGCCCACTCCACCCCACCCAGAACACTTTCACAAAGGCATGTTCACCCTCTGAATTCTGTGATGGGTGCCCTCACCGTTCTCTGCGAGACCTCCTTTATTTATGTGCTTTGCCTGCCTTAGAAAAAAGAAACCTGCCCTCCTGCACTGCTAACTGCAGCAGGATTCTTCTACTTATGCCTTTGAACATGTTTTACAGTCAGATGCCCCTGTTACATATTGGGGAGGCCATCTAGCATCCCTGCTCTTACAAATAGTCTTTCCAAATGTTCAGATATTCAAATATTCCAAGGTGAGCCTAGAATGATAAAGATAGCACACTGTGCTTTTTTGTTTTTAAGAGAACTTATTAAAAATGCCACTTAGCTTCCTCAGAGGTGTTGCGTAGTAAAAAAATATATTCGAAATGGGGAAAAGTCAGATGCATGCCCTTCATTTTACCTCTGTGAATAGCCACTACCCTTTCCCAGCTGACATGAAGCACTGAAGCAGGATCTGAGAGTGTTGTAGGATAATTCATTTAGGGCTGCATGTGTCACTCCAGTATAGAAATGTAAACTGATATAGAATGAGACATTTTTTAAGGATAGGTAGCTGAGGCATTCATTAACAGAGAGGAACATTTTCATGATTATCCTTCATTTAAGTCATCAGTTAGAGACAGTGCTTTGTCAGAAAACTTGACAACAGTTTATTGACTGAAAAAATGAATGTGCTTTATATAGTGGATGGAATGCAATATCTGAATTCGTCTAAGATCCCAAGAAAGGCCACAGAAGGCCTGAATGTATAGTCTCTCCGCAACCCGATCTCTAAGAGCTACAGGCAATCCTGTTATTTGGTGCCTCTCAGTTGCCCATTCTCTAATACACACTAAAGGATAACCCATCAGTTGGTGTAAGTTGCACAGCAGTGCACACATGCATACACACATAGAATCAGAGCCTTCCTGCCAAACCTACAACTGAAATCTTAAGCTTGGCATTTGAGGAGTTTCACTAGGAGTGAATACGAATTCAGCACATTATAGTTCCTAATCAAACCTATGGCACAAAGTAAAAAGGTTCCAAAAGTGACACCATAGTTATACAAGGCTCAGGAGTAAAATATTATTGTACTAGCTTAGATAGAGCACTGATTAATAACAAGAGCTGAGAGTGTGGACCTTTGGCATATAGGACTGGAACAGGCACTTGTTGCTGTTGTTGTTGTTGTTGTTGTTGTCAGTGGCTTTTGGGCCAAAGCCAGCACATCCCAATGGATAAATGGCTTCCCTTAATATTTTTGAAACCTAGCACATGTTCCTCTTACCCACATGTTCCGGTTGCTAAATGTTGAGAGGAGGGGAGGGTGCAGACCTCCCACTGAAATTGTAGGGGGCCCTGTCAATCCTGTCTAAATAGCTTTTGTCATTTCTGTTTCTTTGATGTTCCCTTTGCGTTTTAAAGATGAAATCTAAATGGAGAAATGAATCACCTACATGCAGATGAAGGGTATGAATGAATGAATGATAGACTCATTGTTGGAAAAATCTGACTTCAAGTGTTTTTGAAAGAGCTGATTGACTTATATTATTAGAACATAGTAGATGACAAAAGATTATACCTTTCAGAGACGTTTAACCTAAATTTGATCAACAGTGGCGCACTGGTTTAAATATTATGAAGCATTTCTCCAGCTGCTAGGAGGCTGCACATTTTAATACAGTAAAACCAAACTAGACAGCATCTGTGTGGCCAGGATCCTTCTGTTTTTCTTGATGTGTCTCTGCTGGTAATAAAATTCTGGTAATAATGTTCCTAGATTCTTTAGGAACACTGTGTTGCAGATATTCCTCAACTGTATGCAGGCTTAGTATCTCTTCTCGGGGATAACCCAGTGATGAATGGTTAGGGATAAGTGAGAGTATCTTCCAGTCTATATGAACTGGTTGGTTATGTTTCAAATTGGATTGGTCTGAGTATCTAGGTCTAAGCAGTCTATCACCAACAGCAAGTGCCCTTTTAGATTCAAGAGTGAGATAAATAAACTACTCACTGCAAAGATGCCAGTTGTTTAACTGAAAACCAATTTTCCTTAAATACCTGAATATCTGTCCAGCACTATTTCAAGGGATTTTGGTGGGAACAGAACAAAGCCCTGAATTGCAATGGATTTCATTAGATTGGAATTTGATAGAGGGCATGTTTCTACTGCAACAATGCTTATTTAACTCTTTGAAGAACCACTAATCATTCAGTGTGAAGGACTTTTGGCTGGATAACAAGCATTTAGTTTTCTCTCTGATTGCAACTGCAATCTCGTCTGTAACACAGACTTGCCATTGATGGTGGGCCCTTCATAGCTAGAAAGTAAACTTACATCCGTCATTGCATTTCTCACAAAATAGCACTCTTCTTACTCAGCAATACCTGGAGGGTGGCATTGGCTGAACTGATGCTCTCTCTTTTTTGACACAGATCTATATGTACCTGTGTCTTCCTATAGGATAACAAGCATTTAGCCTCTTCTGCATTACAGAAAGCATAACACTGTTTAAGTGTCAGGCAAGGCATGAGTTGGCATTTTAGATTACCTAGAGAAAAACAAACCAGCAAAAGTAATGTTTATTTATTGAGGCAGATTTTGTAATATTTCAGGCATATCAAAAGAAGCCTAAAGTGTCCTTCTAACTATTTCTCTGCTTCCATCTAATTTCTAAACAAGTAATTGATATCCTTAAAGTAATGACGTGAGACATAGGTAGTCAACCTCATACAGTCAGGGATGTTTACAAGTATACTTAGGGCTAGCAAATAGATTACACCACAGTTTATCTTTTCTTCATTCTTGGCTAAACTGCTTTGGAGTGTTTTATTAAACTTAACATGTACTACACATTTCAAATGATACACGAGCACCTTTAGCAGGAAAGTGCCCTTTTTAAATCTCTTTCTGATTTTGCGGTGGGTAAGGCTATGTAGAGTGACATACAGAGAGTCATAGAAATGAGGACCATCCAGAGTTCTGTGATGCTCTGTTCTGCTGTCAGTCTCTCTCCAGATGATCTGGATTTCAAACTCATTCTTCTATTAAGGCATGTAGCCTGGAAATAGCTGTGGAGTGATATTACCCAAGTAAATAGAAGCTGTGGACCATTTTTGTCTCTCAAATCTGACTGTATAAATAGTGAGACTT